AATCACAGTCAAGAGATAGGTGATGCTTCAGTAACTCAGGTATCACAGTAGAGAGAGGTAAATATGTTTTGTGTGACTGTGTGTAGGTGCTGTACTTCAGGGATTCTTCACTCCAAGGATCTAGAGATGGGCTCCATAGTCTTTGAATACCATAAAATTATAGAACATTTTCTAGGAAGAGAGTCTAGGGCCTCTGTTATATTCTTAAAAGTGTCCATGATACAAATAGCTTAAGACCAAGATGATAGATTTCTGGGCAGAGTGGGGATGGGGACTCTGTGGAACACTTTAGCAAAATATGTTCGACCCTATTATAAAATGGGTGATAACTGATGGTTTAAAAATGGTTGGGGATTTTGATCTTGAATCTACAAGATGGCATTTGGCTTTAACTACTGATTAAATTTCTAGTTAAATTACCTTATTTTAACATGATCCCTAGTGTTACTGCTCTGATTTATCAGCTAGTTCTAGTCAATAGCATTTTCATGGGCAAGATCTCTCTAAATTTTTGCACACTATCGTTGCACAACAATGATTTCCAGAGCACCATAGTTAATTATTTCATAGTTGATGGACTTTTCAAGTTTTACCTAGTATTAGCAAGACCAAACTCAACATTTTGAGTTTTAAGATGATAGAGATGACAACAAAAGACATTTATCCCCCTTCTGTTTTCAAAAATCACCCTAAAATAACATGGAGAACAAAAATGTACACAAATCCTGCCTTGCATGGACTCATAACACATGAAGGCAGAAAATGAAGGGAGGATAATTCATAACTTAGCAGAGAAGAGAAACTCAAGTGTCTTCAGAGGTGAGTGTGTGGAGGAAGGGGTATCCATAAGAAAGAATGCTACCCCCAGAACCTATTGAGACTCAGGAACTAGAGGCCTCAGATATTACAAAAATGGGATGATATGGAATGAGGGAGTGATGAAAACAGTGAGTGCCCAAGTCTCCATTTTTTGTGTAGTTGGAGAGCTACTCTTTCCCCTACCTCTGCCACAGCAGAGTATTTGCTGGAGAAACTGAATCCCGGAGTTGGGTACACAGCAAAACCAAAGTTAGGATGAGGTGCGCACTCAAAATAAGAGGATTAAGTGAAAGCCTACATCCTCACAGGTGGGAAGCTACAGTTCTCTTTTCTTGGGATGCTGACACACATGTTTACACCATTGCCAGGCAACAGATTGGAAAGTCCAGAGAAAATGAGTTTAGATGTTGACATTTGGGCATCTCCAGCAAAAGACCAGCTGGCCACACAGTCACCCCATGGTAAGACACAACAATCTGCAGGCACCACCCACATGCATCCACATACATACAGTGAGCTTTGTGATGCCTTACTCTTAAGAATGAATTGACCACCAAAGGTTACCAGACATTTCAGAGAAACCCACAAACACAGAGAAAAGAAGGAGCTCAGAGAAAAAAGGCAATACGGGGAACAGCAGAAATTTTCAGATGAATTATGATCAGTATCTTCAGAAAGACAAGAAAAGATCATGCATCCATGGGAGAAGAATAGCACGCTATAGGACAAGGAGCATCAAACAAAAATTTGCTCATAAACTAAACATATTATGATGCCTGGAAAGTAAGAGGAAAGGCCTATATAGGAAATGGAAAAGAAGAGATAAGAAAATAAGGAAATCAGTACAAGAAGCCCAATATCCAACTAATTGGAGTTTCATTCAAGTAGGGCAGAAAAAAAAACTGCTGAAGAGAAAATTGTTTTTTTTTAAAAAAAGAAAAAAGATTAGAAGAACATTGTACTGAAGAAATTGATTTTCCAGATTAGGCTTAACATATGAATTGAATGGGAAAAAAAGTCCCAAAGCAAAACATACCTTTGTGAAATTGCTGAACACCAGAAATTGAGAGGTGATTCTAAAAGAAAATCAAGTAACATTCAAAGGATTAGGATTGAGAATGGCATTTTGTCAAAAGCAACTTTGGAAGCTAGAATGCAATAGAGCAGGCCTTCAAAATTCTGAGTGAACATGTTTCAGCCTAGAATTGTGAGGCACGCTGAGTATGAGAATAGAATAAAGACTTTTTTCAGTCATGCAAAGCCTCAAAAACAACCAACTCCCCCAGTGTTTAAAAAAAGTAAGGCCTTTTCTCATGAAGCCCCTGCAGACGTGCTCCTGCAAAATGAGAGGGTAAACGAGGAAAAAGAAAGATGTGGGCTGCAGGAGGTGGGGGACCAGACGCAGGAGGTGGGGGACCAGACACAGGAGGGGAAGGAGGAACCCCCCTGAATGATGGCGGGGGAAGCTCCAAGGGCAGCTGGCAACAGAGGAGAGACTCCAGACCAGACAGTAGGGTTGGGCTGCAGGAAGGCGTCCTGAGGACAGGAAGGATCTAGAAACAAGCTGTGACTGTTTTGACCCTCTTCAAAATTGTTTTGAGAAGCATTTTGCAGAGTTGTGTAGGGTGTAAGAAGACTTAGATGTTTCACGGAAATCCTAACTCCAGGAAACAAGAAAATGTACATTTGTAAGGAAACAATCATTGTATACTGATTAGCTCGGCAGTGAATGATGTTTATAGGATGGTAATATAGGAAAGTTCTGTGGATCACATTGGGAGTGTGAGGGGAGGGTGACCGTAAACTCATCTGCTGCTAGACGTCGGCAGTGTTTGAGGGCAGGCTCCGGCAAAAGGATGCTGGGAGCTTGCCCCCATCTGCCATGCACTAGCTGGGAGACCCTGGGCATATGACTTAGCCTCTCTGTGACTCAGTTTCTCATCTATAACTGGGGGCAGTAATAGTTTCTACCTAACGGGACCACAGTGAAAACTACATAAGTTAAGCGGCTGTAAAGCTCTTAGAACAATGTATGGTAGGTACATAGGAAGGACAATATGAGTACTTGGTGAATAACCAAGTGCCAATAATATGTGCATGCTATATAGACATATGGTGGGAAAACTACCAATTTAGGTAAAAAAGAAAATAGAAAGTAGTTGCCTTCGGGAATCAAGAAAGGAGAAGAATGAGGGACTACTGATTTTTAATTCTAAGTCTCAGTATAATTTGAATTTTTTAAATTACTGCAGGCAATACCTTAAGTAAAATAAAATTAGAAAACCTAACAGCCAACTGCAGATTTTAAAGTGAAGGGCATATGTAAGCTTTTTTGTTTGTTTATTTGTTTGTTTGTTTGAGATGGAGTCTTGCCCTGTCGCTCAGGCTGGAGTATAGCAATGTGATCTCGGCTCACTGCAACCTCTGCCTCCCTGTTCAGGTAACTCTCCTGCCTCAGCCTCCTGAGTAGCCGGGATTACAGGGGTTTGCCACCAAGTCAGACTAATTTTTGTATTTTCAGTAGAGACGGGGTTTTGCTATGTTGGTCAGCCTGGTCTCGAACTCCTGACCTCAGGTGATCCACCCACCTCGGCCTCCCAAAGTGCTGGGATCACAGGCTTGAGCCACCATGCCCAGCCGCATACGCAAGCTTTGACATGAACTATTTCATACTCCCAATTTATTAGCATTCCCATTTTCCGTGCAAATGAAGTTATATGTATTTCTAAATGTAGTAGTGAACCCAAGCCTACCTTTTAAAACAAAATTGCTGCTGGGTGCGGAGGCTCACCCCTGTAATCCCAGCACTTTGGGAGGCCAATGCAAGTGGATCACCTGATGTCAGGAGTTTGAGACCAGCTAACAACCTGACTAATGTGGTGAAACCCTGTCTCTACTAAAAATACAAATATTAGCTGGGTGTGGTGGCACGTGCCTATAATCACAGCTACTCAGGAGGCTGAGGCAGGAGAATCACTTGAACCCACGAGGCGGAGGTTGCAGTGAACCAAGATTGTGCAATTGCACTAGGTGACAGAGGGAGACTCTATCTCCTAAAATAAAATAAGATAAAATTGTCAACACAGGAACCTATTGTTCAGTTATTTCTGCAACAAAAACATAACTAATTTAAAAACAAAATTTTCATTGCCTTAAGAGAAGTGCCTTACAGGTGTGGGCCAGCGATTCTGGATTTTGGGGGGAAAACACACATGAAAAGTGAAGCAATTTGTGCCCTAACCTCCACCTTCTACTGCTCTCTGATAAAGATTTTAATAAGTAATGAAATGAGAGACTTACAAAGGAAAAGAGGGGAAGATATAAAGGCCTTCGATCAAGAAAATGCATAGGCCTACTTTCCCAGAGGTCTACTTCCTCTTCTAAACTAATGAAAGGGCCAGCAGGAACCCAAGAAGCATTGCTGCTCTTGGTTACATAATTATATCAACCTGCTTTTAAAAGAAATCACATCACAGCTGTGCATTTCACCAGCAAGCTACCACAAGATAAGAAAGAATTTCCAATAATGGATACCCCACTCGATTCTCAGTCTGGGTTGACAATCTGGTGTCCACGACACATACTGCCTTATTATCTGTATGAATTTCATCTGTCTACCAACATAATATGAATTAAGGTATTTACAAGATAACCTCTAGGATGTCATTGTGTAACAAGCTGAGTATGTTGAAGTCTCTCCTTTTAATATTAGAAAAAAGAAGGGCTGTGTTTTCCTTCTGCCTGCTCTCATTTGGATGGCATCTGGTGGATGTAATGTTCAGTTTTAAATTCCCTGCTCCCTCCTATTCTCCAACCTCCAACCTCCAAACCCTATGCTCATCATTAAAATGTATAATAACAAAACAAATTTTGCCCTGGGGCTTTGCCAAACTGTCACTGTATCTGGATAGTCCAGGCTTCTCTCTAAAAAGGGAACAAAATAGTCTGAACTGTGTCCCGGTGTGGCAGCATGGGCTGCTGTGACAGCAAGCTAATTCATCACTGTGGGGACCTTGGGCTGTGCAACTGACCACCCAACTTACTGTCATCTGAGGGGTGGCAGTTAATCATCTCCTTAAACGATGTGGGTATGAAAACAGAGCTGATTGTTGCTCAGCACCTAACCTTATCCATCCTCTGTGCCCCAGCAGTGACTGTTGCCATTTTCCCCTTCTTCCCAGACCGCTGGGTTTCAAGAGATTCTGACGGAGGTGGAAATTTTAGCGGTGACTGTGGGATGCCTGTGTCATGACCTCGACCACAGGGGAACCAACAATGCCTTCCAAGCTAAGTAAGTGTTCTAACTGTTGTTATTTTAATGCATTTGCCTTTCTCTTCAGAGCCAAAGGTGACGAATGCTAAAGAGTAAAGCATTAATTTCCTGGCATCCGAGGCCAAGGCCATGCAGGCTTGGGCGTGCATGTCATGGGGCCCATCTATCTTTATAATTCCCTGTTCTTCTTCTAATTGCAAATTTGCCCTTCATGTCATGCTTGTTGATTTGATCGGTCTCTGTTGACCTTAGTCAGATAACAAAGCTTGGATTTTAAAGGGCCTACTTTTTTCCTCCCAGAATATTTGCCTTTATGGCATCGTAAGCTTCTTGGACTTGGTACTCTCAAGCTCTGGTTTGAGACTGTTAAAATAAAAGCAGTCTTAGGAAATTTGATGAAGCAAAATATAGTTTTCCGTTTCCATTAGAGTTCCTTCCAGGATTCTTTTGATTTTGGGCGTTGTAGAAACTGCAGTGAAATAAAGTCACATTTGAGGAACATAGTTTCTGCTTCTCCCATCCCTACTCCCATATAAAGGTGGAAGAAGCAAAGGAAATGCAGGGATGTGTGGGCAACTATTTGCCACACACAGGATGTGTATAGATAGAAAAATCTGCCCCTCCGCAGGTTTTTCTGGAGAAGATAGCTGTTACTTGGTGGCTCCTACTATGGCCAAGGCCACAGAACTTATGGGTGCTAGAAATAAAACCGGGGCCAGGCGCGGTGGCTCAAGCCTGTAATCCCAGCACTTTGGGAGGCCGAGGCGGGTGGATCACAAGGTCAAGAGATCGAGACCATCCTGGTCAACATGGTGAAACCCCGTCTCTATTAAAAATACAAAAAATTAGCTGGGCATGGTGGCGCGTGCCTGTAATCCCAGCTACTCAGGAGGCTGAGGCAGGAGAGTTGCCTGAACCCAGGAGGCGGAGGTTGCGGTGAGCCGAGATCGTGCCACTGCACTCCAGCCTGGGCAACAAGAGAGAAACTCTGTCTCAAAAAAAAAAAAAAAAAAAAGAAAGAAAAAAAACCAAAACCCAGGTCTCCTGAATTGTATATTGAGGGTCTGCCTTCAATGTTCCTTTCACTATCTGCCTGCAAACAAAAGATACAGGCTTTCAGAAGCTGGAGAGAAAAGTTCTGGGGTGGAGAAGGTAGAGAAGGCTTCGACGAAGAGGTAATATTGACTTCGGATGACTGATCTCATAGCCTCCAGAACAAGTCAGCCTCTATTATCTGACACTTTCACAGCCTGCTCTTTGTCAACAGGTTCTTTTCAGCTCACCATTTCCCCCCCTAAACATCTACCCACTGTGACTTTGGAAGTCTTGGACTCTTGTATTTACTCCTGATCTAGCAGATGAATTTCAATTTTGTGCCCTCTCTCCAATCTGTCTGTATCCTATAGCTCATCACTTCATTGCTTTCTTCTCAATATTCTGACATTTCTTGACCAAGTCTCTGTGACATCCACTCTGCAGAAACTCAGTCCTGGTTCAATCTAACAATTCAGACTCTTGCTACTCTGCCTAGACTTGTAAAAGCTTTAGGAGAAAATGTCACAGTTGTGAGAGTTAGAGACATACCAAATGTATGTTCCTCCCACTCAGCTGGATGCTAGAGCTCCCTGCCAGTCTTTCTGTGTCTCTAGCCAGCCCCATTCCCCATTGCTCTTAGCAGTTTCATATACCAAACTTCTGTCTTCCAAAACCACCTCCTGCTCCCCCGCCTCCTCCGTACCACTCAGCAGATCACCTTGCCTCCTGCTTCATGGAGAAAATTGAGGCCATCAATCGAGAACTCTCTCAATTTCCTCCCCTGCCACCTACAAACTTATCTATCCATCCCCATCCTTCCCTCCTTCCCTCCTGTCTGGGTAAGAGGACTGTCCTTCCCCCGTCCGAGGCTAATCCCTCCACCCTGCCATGGGTCCTTCCTTGCTTCTCCTTGGAGATCTTATGCCATCAATCTTCCTCTCCCCGCTGTATCTACTGTCCCTGTCTGCTGGCTCTCTGCATCCTGTTAATAGAAACAATTCCGCATCTTGAAAAAGGCCTACCCTAATCCCCACCTCACTCTCCAGCTTCGGTTCTATTTCCCTCTTTCCTTCCCAGTCAAACTTCATGGAAAGCTGTCTGGGTTTACTTCCTTCCCTCCCCCAACCCCTGTCCTCCCACACAGCTTCCAGTTCCACCTTGCAGGAGAAACCACCCTCAGGAATGAGATCCGTGGCCCCCTTTTCTCAAAACTGTTGGAACTTTTTGTGTCTTTTCATAATTCTTCTTGCCATGAGATATACTTTGTCACTCCCTCCTTCCTGAAACTCTCTTCGTTTGTCTCACAGAGGGTTTCCATCCACCTGTACAGCCTTGCTTCTCCATTGGCTTGAGGCCTCTGTCTCCCTGCCCCAACCTTGACTGGCGATGCCCTCCCACTTCCTCTCTCGCTTTCCACGATCCTTCAGGCAGGGCCACCAGCCATCTGCTGATGGGCTTAGAATACATTTCTTTGAACCATAATTCTCAGCTTATCTTCAGGCACTTATTCCACTGTTTGAGGGACACCTCCTTTTTGAAGTCCTACAGTCCCCTCAACCTCAGTCTTTTCCTTCATGTGTGTCCCTCTTTATTGTAATCTCTACCCCAATGAATGGCCCTACCAGGAATGTGCCAGTCACCCAGTCTACCCTGCAGCACCCCTCAAAGCTGGCACCTCCTCTGCTTGCTTACAGCAAGGACTGCTTCTTTGCATGACTCCTGGTTTGCTACAATGAACAGCATGACTCTCCTCCCCAGGCTGCTTGGCATGCCAGAATAAGCTTTATAATTCACAAAGCTGACCAGGATACTCCCCTGTTTAAAAGCCATCCATGCCTCCTGTGGCTTTTAGAATACTGTTCCAGTTCCTTTCGGGCCCTTTTCATTCAGACTCCTGCCCATTTTCCTGGCCCAGTGCCCACTCACTCCTCTACATTCCAGACACAGGGACTCCATGAAGCACTGGTGGGGTCTTGCTCGGTCACATCTCTCTGCTGCCTAATGTGCTGTTTCCCCTGCCTGACATACGCTTCTCTCCTTCTTTCCCTAAAACTCCTCAGAAAGCATCACCTCCAGGTTCCTATCCACCCTAATGTCCCCCATGGTCAATTTCCTATGCCCGCATACTGCCCTGGCTGTGCCTTTTCCAAAGTGTGCATCTCATTCCATTTTAATTGCTGACTTGCAGATATGTCTCCTCTTTTTCTTTGACACATGCAACAGTGGGTGAACTGTGCCTGGAGCATAATAAACAATAAATGTTTGGTGAATGAACAAATGAATGTTAACTGCATGAATGGATGGGATATTTTAACTATAGCACTTCAATGAGGTTTCCTCATTTCTTCGACAGATGCATCCTTTTATAAGACATTGTTTTTAACTTTTCTTTTAGGTTTGGGGGTACATGTGAAGGTTTGTTACATAGGCAAACACATGTCATGGGGGTTTGTTAAATACATATTATTTAATCATGTAGGTATTAAGCCCGGAACCTGATAGTTATCTTTTCTGCTCCTCTCCCTCCTTCCACCCTCCTGCCTCACATAGACCCCAGTGTCTATTGTCTCCTTCTTTGTGTTCATAAGTTCTCATCATTTACCTCCCACTTGTAAGTGAGAACATGTGGTATTTGGTTTTCTGTACCTGCATTAGTTTGCTAAGGTTAATAGCCTCCAGTTTCATCCATGTTCCTGCAAAAGACACTACCTCATTCTTTTTTGTGGCTGCATAGTATTCCATGGTGTATATATGTGACATTTTCCTTATCCAATTGTGAATAGTGCTACAATGAAACATTGTTTTATACATTGTCTTGATGCTGCATGAAAGAGCTGGAGCCCATTGAAGTGCACACTGTATATGCTTTCACTGTAGGATCTCATTGCTCCTTGTTTGGAGTTCTTGTGTCTACACTGCATTATTTTTTTAGGAATCCTCTCTCTCCCAGGCCAATGGTATCATCATCAGTGTATCTCCCTTTAGCATGCTATCTCCAGCCCCCTACCACTCTACCACTTATGCAGAAAGATGGGATAAATGTGTTAGAATTGTGTTGTAAAACAAGAGTGAGAGCCTTGTGGGTCCTTTCAAGAGTAAAGTGCTCAATATTTATACTCAGATACCAATGGCGCCTCCCCAGAGAGAGAGCTGGTGGATGGCATTGACAGAGGCCGCTCTTCTTGCTAGTTGATCCCTCAGCTATTGGGACCAAGAGTGCTTACCTAATCAAAGCTGGACCAATCAGATTTTTATCTCACAGGAATTTGAAGTTGGATTACCATTATATTAAGTCAGTTAGTTGCAGGGATCCAAGCTGCAGGCTCATATAGATTTGGGAGCTGAGGCTGCCATTTGGGGAAAGCTATGATGATCATGTACAAAATGGATGAAAGAAACAAGAAAACCAGTCTACAAAGAGGAGAGAAGAGTGGAACTGATATTCAGAGAGAAGCAGACTGGAGAGACTGTCACCTGGGAGAAAGACAGAGAAAAGTCAGACTTGATCCCTGGCTCCCTCCATCCTGTTCCTATTTCTAGGACACCCAGCTGTGATTGTGATGACTGGGCTTCTCCAGAGTTCCTGGTATCATTCAATCAGCCTACCGTTTAGCAAAGCTAGTTGTACTCCATTTCTGTCCTTTGCAACTCACACTTCCTGAGACAATGGGAAGAACTGCAGTTTATTGTTTACTGTGTCTTAAGCCCTTACCACCATCAACTCTGTGGAGTTGATATGTTTGTCTCCATTATACAGGAGGAACTGAGCCTCCTGTAAGTAAGGTAATTGAACTTACCCAAATCCATTCATGTGGTAGAGTGGAGCCTGGACCAGGGATGTCTGTTTGCAGAAGCCATTCTTTAATCACTGTATCACGCTCTGGTCCTTGACTTTGTGACATCTATTTTGAGTTGTTGAGCTTCCAATTTATTGGCTGCCTTGTCAGATATATGAGCTCTTGAACAAAAATATATTTTGACAT